CCATAGGCACTGTTTATCATTCCTAAGTTCCCTGTCTCCCCTGCGCTAGACTCCTTTACTCAGCCATCTCCCCAGTGTGATTTCCTGCATGTCATACCTAGTATCTTCTTCATTCACTCAGCTCCTTGCTCCCAGGTTACTCTCTTAGCTAACACACTTCCATTCACTAAGAACCATCTTTTTTATAAAGACACAAAAATGAAGACATTCTGAAATTCACAATCTATTAAAAGAAAAGAACAAGCAAGTGCTGTACAAAGCAGGCCAACACATTTTCTGAATAGGGCCAAAAGGTGAGTACTTGTGGCTTTGTAGCTATAGAGTCTGTCACAGCTACTCAACTCTGCCACAAAAGCAGCCACTGGAATTGTGTAAACAAGTGAGCTATGCTCCAACGAAACATGTAAGTAGAACAGCGGTGTGAGGCTGGAGAGGGCTCAGTGGACGGAGGATACTGTTCTTGTGCAGATCTCGGTTCCGACACGTACCTTGGTGGCTCACAACTGGCGGTAACACTAGTTCCAAGGAACCCACTGCTCTTCTCACACTCCTCCCAGCACTGTGCTCACATGCACAGACACACAAACAAGTAAAAATAACCTTGGCTTGGTGGCACACAAATTTAATTTCAGAACTCAGGAAGCAGAGGCAGGTTGATTTGTGTGAATTTGAGGCTAGCAGGGCCTACACTCTTTGAGTTCCTGGCCAACTAGGATGACAAAGTGAGACCTTTTCTCTAATAAACAATATGTAACATTTTAAAAATTAAATATCAGGCCAGGCAGTGGTGGTGAATGCCTTCAATTCCAGCACTTGGGAAGCAAAGGCAGGTAGATTTCTAGGAGATCAAGGCCAGTCAGTTCTACAAAGATATGGGTACCAAGGATACATAATGAAACCCAGCCTCAAATAAAGTAAATTAAAATTAAAACCTTAACCAAACAACAGTAACAAAACTGGCAGTGGGTTGCCTGTCTGGTAAGGAATAGAGCATCATCCTAGGGCACAGCCATGGAGCTGGTGGAAGTCGAGAAAAGCCCCACAGGCATGCTAGCCCTGCACGGTGCTAGCAAGTCTTATTATCTCAACAACTATCCCCAAGCAGTCTCTTTGCAAGCTGTTAACTGTTAGTCAACACAGACACCCAACAGAATTCAATCATCAAAAACTGTTAGCTGAAGATTGTGGTGGAATTAATTTATCATTATAAAAGAACTACAGGTTAGTTTATGTGGTAAATGTAATTCTGGCTTTCAGGGTTTTTTTGCACAAATATTTGAACATGGTATAGAGAGCATCCCTGTGGAGTTATAGCCAGGTCAAAGCCATGCACAACCATGGCATGCCTGAAAAAGGTGCATGTCCACAGTTGGCCCTGAATGCCTGCATCGGAGCCTTAAGAGTCTATACTGGCTAGTTCTATGTCAACTCAACACAACCTGTAGTCATTTGAAGGCGGGAACCTCAAATAAGAAAATCCCTCCAGGGCTGGAGAGACGGCTAAAGAGCACTAAATCCAGGGTTCAATTCCCAGCACCCACATGGCAACTCACAAATGTCTGTAACGCCAAGATCTGACACCTTCACCCAGATAAACATGTGGCAAAACACCAATGCCCATTTAAAAAAGAAGAAGAAAAAAAAGCCTTCATAAGACTGGATTGTTGACAAGGGCATTTACTTAGTGACTGGTGTGAAGGGCCCAGCCCATTGTGGGTGGTACCACCCTGGGTTCTGTAAGAAAGCTGGTGGAGCAAGCAACAGGGAGCAAGCTAGTAAGCAGCACCCCTCTGTGGCCTCTGAATCAGCTCCTGCCTCCAGGTTCCTGCCCTACTTGAGTTCCTGTCCTGACTTCCTTCGGTGATGGACAGTGATGCAAAAGCAAATGAACTCTTTCTTCCCCAAGTGGCTTTTTCTATGGTGTTTTATCATTGCAATGATAATCCTAAGACAGACAACTAAGTGCAGCTTGCTCATCTGAAGATGACATACTCACTCTACTCATAAGCTAACAACTCAAACATAGCAGGTTTAGACAAGCAGCCTTAATAGCATTCAACAAAGCATACATAAGTCAAAACCAGATAAGCAAGAGAAAAAGAACTGATAAGGCCTCCTCTAACTAAGGTGGAGAATTTGCTTAGAAAAATGTTTTTCTGGGCTAGAGAGATGGCTCAGAGTTAAGAGCACTGGTTGCTCTTTAAGAGGACTTGGGTTCAATTCCCAGTGCCACATGGCAGCTCACAACTGTAACTCCAGTTCCAGGTGGTCCTAATGCAGACACACATGCAGGCAAAACACCATGCATATTAAAAAAAATTGAAAAATGTTTCTCCTTTCAAATGCTTTCATTATTATTCACTTTGGAGAATTCTGTATGTAAGTAAAGAGAAAAACCATCTGTCTGATTCTACCACAGGCTGTAGCTTTTGTCAACATTTCAGCTTTTCTCTTCAAATCTCTTTTTTGTATACATTGGGAAAAATGTTTTTAATGACATTGTTTTCTCTTCTTTATGGAGTATCATATTGTGAATAGTTTCTAGAATTCTTTAATATGGCCCAAAAGTATGATTTTTACAGTAACTGTATCAGAAGACAGGTGCAGTGGCACATTCTAATCCCAGCACTCAAGAGGCAGAGATAGGCAGATCTCTGTGAATTCAAATCCAGCCTGGTTTACATAGTGAGTTCCAAGACAGCTAGAGCTACATAGAGAGACCCTGTCTCCAAAGTTAATAAAAAATAAAAAGGTGCACACATCTTTAATCCCAGCAGAGACAGGTGGATCAAGGACTATCTGTATAAATTTCTCCCACTTTTAGATAGTTAGGTTACTTCCTTGTTTTAAGACAGGGCCTCACTGTGTAGCTCTATCTTGAACTCACAGAGATCCCGGTACTGGATTAAAGGTGTGCACCACCACACCTGGCTCAATTTATTTTCACAGTACATTAAAAGTTGAAAATAGCCGGGTGGTGGTGGCGCACGCCTTTAATCCCAGCACTTGGGAGGCAGAGGCAGGCGGATTTCTGAGTTCGAGGCCAGCCTGGTCTACAGAGTGAGTTCCAGGACAGCCAGGGCTACACAGAGAAACCCTGTCTCGAAAAAACCAAAAAAAATAAAAAAAAAAAAGTTGAAAATAATTCCACAGAAGTTCATAAGACTACTTAAATATATTTTTCTATTAACTTACTGACAGCAAGTACTTCTCTAAAATAGAAACTTACTCTGGGGGAACCTACAGGTGAAGATACAGTCCACACTGGTGACAACAGGAGGCAGCAGTCCCCAGGAGCAGGCAAGGGGCACAAATACCACAGCCCTAGGTCACTGGCCATTTGAGTCCTCAATCTTCTATACCAAAGGGAGATCAGGTAGCAGGAGCCAATTAGCATCACAATTAGCTGGGGCTCCTGAGAAGGCAGTTTCACCTCACTTGCAACACCAAACACAGGAAACCTGTTTTGGTACTAAAATCATGTAAAGACGTTAAATAACTTGCAGCAAAGATTCCACCTGCTTCATTTAGCCAACTTTTGGAAATTCCTTCTGAAATAAGATGATGCACAATGACTGGTCTCTCTCCTCAGGACAGCTGGAAGAACTTTCTTCTGACTGTACACTCTGCGCAGCAGTGGAGAAGCAGTGACCGCCTGCACGGCAGAGGCAATGGTGTGCTTTCAAAGTGGCACAGAGGCCTGCTTCGGGAGTGAGAGGTACTATAGACCCCATTTCTCTTATCTGGCTATCACTCACAAAATTAAAACCAATCAATACTCTGCTTCACATTTTCTTTCTTTCTTTCTTTTTATTTTTTTTATTTTTTTATTTTTTTTTGGTTTTCGACACAGGGTTTCTCTGTGTAGCCCTGGCTGTCCTGGAACTCACTCTGTAGACCAGGCTGGCCTCGAACTCAGAAATCCGCCTGCCTCTGCCTCCCAAGTGCTGGGATCAAAGGCGTGCCCCACCACTGCCCGGCTTCACATTTTCTACAATGATAAAAACTCTTCCTAAAAGAAAAAATTGTCCTTGGCCTTAAAATAAGCCAAAGAAAGTGGAATATAAGAAACTTACTGAACTGAGCTAGTAACATAGAGCAAAAACAACAACAAACAAAAAAAAACCCAAAACCCCTCCCTCAGTTCAACGCTCAGCTTCCGGACCAGGGTTAAAAACCACATTTGATTGCCAATTTAATCAAATGAAACTTGAGCCAGTCAGTGTCACTTAACAGTGTTACTTTTTTAATTGAGGTTGAGAAAAGGGATGTTTCAGATTAAAATCTCCATCTAGTATTGTATTCCCATATGAAATTTTTATCAAAAGATTTCTTTTTTTTTAAAAAAAAATATTTTTTCTGTGTGCAAGTGTCATGTGTGTGTGGAGGTCAGAGGTCAACTTGCCAGCATCTGTTCTCTCCTCCTTCCATGTGGGTACCAGGGGTCATCAGGCCTGTCAGCAATCACCTTTACCCAATGAGCCACCTTCTCAGCCAGAGACTGCTTTTCAAACCTGAATATCCCAGACTTATCTATGGGTAATTTAAATTCTAATTACAGAAAAAGAAACTAACCAATAAAACAAGCTCAGGGTAAAAGGACAACTTCCTTACTCCTCTCCCATCCTGTCAGTCTGATCACAGAGAAATTTGCACAACAAAGCACAAACTCTTCTTGTTGTCTTTCTGACAAAAAGAACTTCCCATAGACAAAAAAAAAAAAAAAAAAAAAAAAAAAAGACAGAATGAACACAGCATCTTTCAGGACCACCAATCAGGTGGTGCAGGCAACTCTGTGACAGGTGAGAAGTTGTCATCTCACCTCTTATCCAGAGTAGAGACAAGGTTAAATCAATGCTTTCCTATGCTGACACAGGTGGCTATTAAAGCTGTGTAAAGCAAACACACAAGTGCGACCAGTCTCTGCACTGATCACAACTCCAGCAGGCCCAGATCCTTTTGGAGTCACCTCAAGAGGAAGGGAAACCACACACACTTACCTTACCAGCGCATCTGGTTTGCTCAGCTGGTTGTTAGGAATACAGTTCTCCATTAAGTCCTTGTGTGCACTCGGGCCCTTGCTGGTGCACTTCTGTTTCTTCTCGTTTTTACTAGACGAGGAAGGAATGCTTCCATTTGCAGCGCTGTGACTTCGAGGCGAGGAGTTCACAACTCCACTGGCATTTTTGTAATTTTTTGAGGAAGCAGTGCATGAGTCCTCTTTTAAGAGATTTTCTGTACTTCCCACAAGATCATTGTTTAATCTTTTACTATTGATATGGTTTTCCATATACTCAATCTCTTGTATCTTAGAGTCTACAGGTTGTAGAATGTTGTTGTTATTTATTCCAAGGTTGTGTTTCTTGGCATCCTTGTCCTTCTCTTTCCCTTTTTCTCGATATTCTATCTCTGGCAATGTTGTGGAAAGTTTTTTGTTGGCTGGGATGCCTCCGTTGTGGTGTATAAGGATCGAGGAATCCATGTCCGGCAATCCTTTGGCTGCTACAGTACCAAAAACAAACCAACAAACAAACAAAAACCCATACTGGAATATTTAGCTTTTAAAAACAGAGACTAGATTGACTTAGTAAAATGGATTAACCAGGCCTAGAAATTCACTACATTAATCACAGTAGGAACTTAGGAGCAGAAAGTACAATATATACTACACTAATTCCAAGGAGTGAGCCCAGACACATCTGAGAAAATCACCACAAAATGAACTTCAAACCACTAAAGATACGGCATTAAACCAAGATTAAAATGTTATAATCAAATCATATATCAAGCCAACTAAGTTTGCCATAAGAGAAAGAGCAAAAGCAGTTTGTTTCTGTAAGAGGACCTATTTTTTTTTATGAAAAGGAATTTATTATGCTATGGCAGGATAGTCCACCAACAGCTACTTTCCTAAGAAGCTTTGTTTAAAAAGAGGCCTAAATTAAACTGGGGAGATGGCACAGTATTTAAAAATGTTTGCCCCACAAGCCTAGTGCCCCAAGTTCAATCTTCAAGACCTAAGTAGGTGTGAGGAGATAACTTTCACAAACTTCCTCTCTCTCTCTCTCTCCCCCCCATTCTCTTTCTCAAAAGATGATTTGATTAAACGAACACCTAATAATATTACTGAAAAAATTTCAAATGAAAGAAAAGATGGACTTCTGGTTACAGACATCTGTCTTTTTGTGACTCCAGTGTTGGAGTAATATGTGTATATGTCTGTATCACTGCCCAGGAAACTTACAAGGAACTTTCTGTAAAAAAAAAAAAAAAGAAAGTAAAAAGAAAGTACATTTCAACGTGCTGTGGTCTCTTTATGAGCTATTTTGCACTGCTTCAGATAAAAAGGATTTTAATATAAATTAACTAAAAAGCATAATCTCAATCTTCCAAAGCAACTCTCAAGCAAAGGACATTAGTACTGGGGGCTAGAAAGATATCTCAGCGTTTAGAAAAACTGTCTAGTCTTCCAGATGTCCTGAGCTTAATTCCCAGTACCCACATGGTGGCTCAGAACCATCTATATAATGCAATCCGATGCCCTCTTGTCATTCAGGCATATATGCAAATAGACCACTCATATGGATAAATAAATACAATCTTTTAAAAAAGGGAAAATCACTTCCAGCTCATCTGTCACTCTTGGCTGAATGTCCATGAGAGAAAACCCTGTGAGAAATGGTTCCATTTAAGAACCACTGTACCATGTACATGAAACTTTCAAACGGAACCCACATCTTCTTCCACCAGAAGGCAACATCACACGTCCACACCAGCATCTTGCTCTTTGGTCTTGACTTGCTTCAATTACAACATCATGGTCAAAGTGTATTTTATCACTAAGTACTTCTTAAAATTTGTAACAACATATTTATATTTTTAAAAATTAAAAATAATGAGATAGGGGCCTAGAGAGATGACCCAGGGATTAAGACTGCTCTTCCAAAGGTTCCAAGTTCAATTCCACATGGTGGCTCACAACCATCTGATGTGTCTGAAAAAAGCAACAGTGTACTCACATACATAAAATAAATAAATTTTTGAAAAAAAATAATGAGAGAGGGACTGGCGAGATGGATCAACAATTAAAAGCATTTGTTGCCCTTACAAAGACCTGAGTTCAGATCCCACATGGTGGCTCAGAACAACCAGCAACCCCAGTTCCAGGGCTCCAGACTACCAATGTGGTATACATACAAACACAGGAAAAAAGTCAATATGCATAAAATAAAAATATATGAAAAACAAGAACCTTATTTAGAAGCCAATGGTCCTCAGAGGGCAAAATACGGCAAACACATTCTGTACTGTATGGCCAAAACAATGGTCCAAGGAGGAATATCAGAAAAACTGAAAATCTAAAATCTCAGTAAAATTATTTTACTGAGCCAAAATATGACTAGCCTCCTAGGCCCACGGCTTCAGAATAGAGACATACCTTCCTCGGCCTCCTTCTCCTGCTTCTGCAACATTTGCTGCTCTGGAGGGAGGGCCTGCTGAAGCAGCTGCATGTAAAACTCGTTCTCCTTCTGAACTTCCTTCTGCTTCCTTAACCGCATTTTGTAGCTCACATAACTTTTGAAGCCAAAGCCCAAAGTCACCACAGGGTACCCAATACTAGAAGGAAGACACTCCAGCCAATAATTGCAAGCTTAAAAAATAATATGTGTAGCAAACACATAGGCTACTGAGACTAAAAATTAGAAAATCAGTTCTAGTTGATGATAATAAACTCATGCAAACAGAAAAGCCCCGCGGACAGGTCTGCTGGCCCACTTCCCAGCTCACTGAAGGTGTTCTTTGACTCTAGGAGTCACCAGAGAGACTGACAGACACAGCGACTAATGCTTGAAGGAAACAATGAGTCTTACGCATTAAAATTTAGACATCTTTTATGTTTTTAAGAATTAGAGGTATCACCGCCGGGCGGTGGTGGCGCACGCCTTTAATCCCAGCACTTGGGAGGCAGAGGCAGGCGGATTTCTGAGTTCGAGGCCAGCCTGGTCTACAGAGTGAGTTCCAGGACAGCCAGGACTATACAGAGAAACCCTGTCTCGAAAAACCAAAAAAAAAAAAAAAAAAAAAAAAAAGAATTAGAGGTATCGGGACGTAACAGAGTCACTGCTCAAAAGAACTCACAGAGGCTATGACTGCAGAGCATCAAGCCAAAGTTGCAGCACAGATCAGGGAAGGGCTCATGAAGTCCCACCTCTAGCTGTGAAAAATATCCATGTTCTCAGTAAATGGCCCTATGCCCATGTACATCTGGCAGCATTAGGTGGATTCAGTGGGATTTTTAAAAAGAATACATGTAGGATAGAGAGTTGGCTCAGTGGTTAAGAGCACTGACTGCTCTTCTAGAGGTCCTGAGTTCAATTCCCAGCAACCACATGTTGGCTCACAAGCATCAGTAATGGGATATGATGCCCTCTTCTGGTGTGTCTGAAGACAGCTACAGTGTACTCACATAAATAAAGAATACATGTAGTGCCGGGCAGTGGTGGTGCACGCCTTTAATCCCAACACTTGGGAGGCAGAGGCAGGAAGATTTCTGAGTTCGAGGCCAGCCTGGTCTACAGAGTGAGTTCCAGGACAGCCAGGGCTATACAGAGAAACCCTGTCTCGAAAAACCAAAAAATAAAAATAAATAAATAAAAAAATAAATAAATAAATAAATGGCTGGAGAGATGGCTCAGTGGTTAAGAGCACTGACTGCTCTTCTAGAGTTCATGAGTTCAATTCCCAGCAACCACATGGTGGCTCACAACCATCTGCAATGAGATCTGATGCCCTCATATGGGTGTCTGGAGACAGCTACAGTGTACTTACATATAATAAATAAATAAATCTTAAAAAAATAAAAAATAAAAAATGTGCTTTTCACAACCAATGTAAACAGAAATCAAGCTTATTTTTTAATACTTTTAGATAATATTAAATGAAATATACCTCAACCTTTACCTATATTCCATAATTAGACCAGTTCCTTTTAGAAGTATCAGTAGTCTTGTTACTTCTGTAAAAGACTATGGAAGCTCATTTAGATTTTTCTGAATCATTATCGAAATCACCTGTCAGACACTTACTAAATTAAACACCTGACACCTGCACCTCCTTCCCACGACCTCGGGAGGAAGGTCAGAGAGCTGAAGCTTAGAGACAGTGGCAGGCTCAGCTGCACAGCGCTGGGACACCGAAATGTAGACTAAGAATATAAGTAATACTCACCAGTGAGCAGCAAATGGTCGACAAAGGTCTACATGAAAATTTTTCAGATCTTTAAATCTAATTGCTGCTTCAATATAAACAAAGAGTATCCAGAGGGACACTGTAGGCAAACACACTCCCCTTTCTGAAACAACAGAAAGACAACCATCAATGATACAGTAGCTGACAACAGATGGGGTATCTGGGAGATTCAGTCAAGGACATTAAGTCCTTAAGTCATTAAGACTTTCAGCTAAACTAAAAAGCAATCTGCTCTGAACTCAAAGAGTCTCTATGACAAACAAGCCAACAAACTCTGATGAAAACAAAAGGTAAACAACTGTCAGGAAACACTCATATGTCAAACAAAAGATTCATAATCTTCACTAAAGAGCTCCTAAAACTCAATTAAAAAAAAAAAAAAGACAACCAAAAAAAAGACAACCAAAGTTGGGTATGGCACTGTGTGCCTATGACAGTCCCAACAACTGGGAAGACTGAGGCAGAGGGATGGCTTGAGCTCATATTTTGAAGGTGACCTGGGCAAATAATAAGATCCGATTCAATAAGCAAATAAAACCAATTAAAACTAGAGAGGGTGTGGCACAGTGGCAGAGCACATGCTTAGCATGTGCAAAGCCCTAGGTTCAATTCCAATGGCCCTACCACAAACAAGAGAGGAAAAGCTAAAGAAAACAGCTGTGTAGGTTGGTGCCTTTAATCCCAGCACTCAGCAGACAAAAGCAAGTAGATGGTTTCCTTTTTTAGTTCAAGCCCAGCCTGGTCTGCTGAATTCCAAGCCAACCAGGACCACACAGTAAGACCTTGTCTCCAAAAAGAAGAAAAAAAAAAGAAAAGTAAATTGAAAAGGGCAAATGAATAAAATTTATTAGTCATAAATAAAAATGCTCAACTTTACCAAAATGTTAAGGGAGCTACAACCAAAACAATCAGATCCTCAATTTAATTCATTATTTTTTTAAAAAAAGAATTAAAGCTGGGCAGTGGTACCTCCCAGTACTGAAGAGGCAGAGGCAGGCCAATCACTGAGGCCAATCTGGTCAGAGCTCAAGACAGCCAGGGCTATAGAGGAGATGCTGTCTGGGAAAGACAATTAAGACAGATAAAAAATAGTGTAGAGATATCGTGGATAAAGCTTTACTCTCAAACTAGACAACAGTATACTTTATGGCAACTCTTTTGGGAGATAGCTTGGCAGTATAAGTAAACTTTAAGTACCTGTACTTTTAACCCAGAAATCTCACTTTTAGATCTTATCCTGAAGAAATATAGAAAACAATACTCATTGTAAAACTACTTACAATAACTTAAATGTGATTAACTTAAATGTTCACTAAGAGGAAACTGTTTAATTATGATAAAGTTATACAATACAATGTAGAAAGTTTTCTAAAGAATGTAGATCTGGCTAGATGTGGTGGAACAGGCTTTTGCTCTCAACACTTGGGTAGCAAAGGCAGGCAGGTCTCTGAGTTCCAGGCCGGCCAGGGTCTATACTGTTTTTCTGACAGTAAGAAGCACTTAAACCTTCATTTCCAGGAGCAGATGTTCATTTGAGCGAGTATGAAAACACCAGGAAGGTGACAGCAACTTGCAACAGAATAAATAAAATATTGTTTTATTTTATTTAAAGTAAAATAAAAAAAAAAAACAAGCCGGGCAGTGGTGGCGTACGCCTTTAATCCCAGCACTTGGGAGGCAGAGGCAGGCGGATTTCTGAGTTCGAGGCCAGCCTGGTCTACAGAGTGAGTTCCAGGACACCCAGAGCTACACAGAGAAACCCTGTCTCGAAAAACAAAAACAAACAAACAAAAAAAAAACAGAAAAAATAAAATCGACAAGTTGCATCAGTCAGTGTTAGGAAAAGACAAATAATGGAGAATCTGTGACCATGGAGGACAAGGCTCAAGTTCACAGAGACAGTGTAAAGTCAGTTTCTAAGGAAAATCTAAGCGCCCTGATGCCTAGACCCTGAGCTAAGACAGGAATCTGTGAAGGCAGCTGGCAAGCTCTACCGCCTTTCAGATCTAACATACTCAGAATAGGTATTTTCAAAATTATGACTCTTCAAAATAATTTCAAATTTTTTATTTCCAGCTGGGTGTGGTGACACATATCTGTAATCTAAGCACTAGGGAAGTAGAGGCAGACAGAACTGACTTCAAGGCTAGCTTGTTTCTACACAGAAAGTTCTAGGCCAGCTAGAGATGCATAGTGAAACCTCTCAAAACAACAATGATCCTTTAACTATGTCCTACTTGGTACATTAATTTATTAAGTTAAAATAAATATAAAAATATTACTGAAAAATAGAACAACACATGTTATTCCTCCGTCTATGAAATAAATAACCACTCTAGAAGCTTAAGTATGGGACCATATTAGAGATTGTATCTTAAGAGCTTCCTGGCTTTAAGATCACGGGGAAAAATTTATAAAAGTTGCATGTGGTGGCATAAATCTACAATCTCAGCACATGGGAAGCAAGAGAATCAAGAGTTTAAGGCCACCTTAAAAATAACAAGGTTGCAGGCTGGAGAGCCAGCTCAGTGGTTAAGAGCACTGTCTGCTCTTCTAGAGGTCCTGAGTTCAATTCCCAGCAACTACATGGTGGCTCACAACCATCTGTAATGGGATCTGATGTCCTCTTCTGGTGTGTCTAAGGACAGTGACAGTGTACTCACATATATAAAATAAATAAATCTTTTCAAAAAAGCACAAGGAGGACTTGTGTGTGTACCTCGGTGTAGAGAGCTCTGTCCTCCTACACAGCCCAAGTGAGAGGAAGTGGCAGGAGTCCATACCATACGGCTGCACATTTCCAACTGTACAAGGGCCACTGTGTGTCTGGGAGGCTGGTGAGATTTTTTTGTTTTGTTTTTGTCAAATAAGTCACTTCAATAATGAAATGTTGTAAACGGTCTTGTGCGGCACATGAATGTCTTCAAGGACTCCTAAAGAGAAACTACTCTGACCCCCGCTCCCCTTTTAAACTGGCATCTTTGCAATAGAGGCTGCCAACCAGAATGCCTAAAAAGTTAAGCTTTTGATTCAAATAAAAAAGAAAAGGAAATCCATATGCAAGCATACAGAGCAAGGCAAGGTAGGGCACACCTATAACCCCAGAACTCAGGAGGAGGCAAGGTAGAGCACACCTATAACCCCAGAACTCAGGAGAAGGCAAGGTAGGGCACACCTAAAACCCCAGAACTCAGGAGGAGGGGCAAGGTAGGGTACACCTATAACC